TTGAGGTTTCACACCAACAAGACAAAAATGATAGAAGTTCCATGATGGAAAATGTACAATTTGGGAAAAGGAAAGAGCATAAAGGGAATTATAAATTTGATATTTAAAATGTTAGGTTTTATGTTACCATGCAACAGCCTCATGAAAATATCCTTTAGAGAGTAAAAAATACAAGCTTGGAACATGGGTGGGAGCTTGGATTGTGTAGATTTCAGAGTTATTAGCATAGATAGTTGAAATAGATCATACTGACCAAAATAAAATCAGAAACTGAGCTATTTTGTAATGTGACTAAAATTCAGGGTGGATTGAACCCAGGCCAGAATTCTGAGAGTGGCATACTTTAGTGTGGAGAAAATGGACAACGTGATAAACCTTGTGAAAAGACCAAAATAGGGTTGATGCCAATAAACTGAACATATTAAAGTATGACCTAAATTGCCATCTGTTGAGGGAAGGAAACATCTGTCCTATAGGGCAAAAGCTGGAGATTGGAAATTTCTAATTAATTTCGAAAGCAAGCATTGCAATTTTAAAATAAAGTCTCAAGCCTTAATGAGCTTTTTTCTCCCCAGTAAAGTTATCCCAAAGAGGGGAAATAAAAGATAATAATATTACAAGAACTAAGGAATATAGATTCCCTAGGAACCATCACAGAACAAATTAAAGTGGGACTGTGCTTAAGCCACATAAGCTGGTGAAAACTTACACCATGTTATTACATGTATCTTTTCCCTAAGCATCTTTTCAGTCACATCTACTTAGTTTGGGACTAAAACAAGCAGGAGAGGCAGTATTGTAAGATGCAAAGATCACAGGCAAGGGAACTGAATTCTTATCCCATCTCTGCCATGAAATAGTTATATGATTTAAGTCATTTAACCTTCATGGGCCTTGGTATCTTCATTTGTAAAACAAAGAAAGGGATGGAATTAAAATATTTAAAATATCTCTTTGTGCTTTAAAATGTTATGTATGGTCAACATCCTATAGAAAAGAAAATTACATCCTTTTAGTCTTATTTATACATTGCCATATGTGTTCTGATTCTTAAGCATTTATAGTCAGGAATGAACAAAGCTTTTGTTGGGAAGATGAAGTCAGTCACTCAGTTAATAAACACTGAGTTAGTTCTTATTATGTGCCAGGAACTAAGTAAAGTAGTAGGGGTTCAAAAAGAGGCAAGAGACAGTCCATGTCCTCAAGGACTTCACAGTCTAATGGAAGAGAAAACCAGCAAAGAAATATGTATGAACAAGCTATATATATAGGATAAATAGAAAATAATTAAGAGAAGGAAGGCTCAAGAACTAAGAGAGATTGGGAAAGGCTTCTTGTAGAAGATGGGATTTTAGTTGAGGCTTAAGGGAAATCATGGAAGCCAGTAAGTGGAGATGAGAGGGAATACATTCCAGGCATGAGAGACAGTCAGAGGGAAAGTCCAGAGCCTGGAGATGGAGATGTATGGATCATGGAATAGCAAAGAGGCTAGTATCATTGGATTGAAGAGTACATGATAGAAGTAGAGTGAAAGACTAGAAAGATAGGAAGAGGACACGTTACGAAAGAATTTTAATGCTAAATCGAAGATTTTGCATTTGTTGTTGGAAATTATAGGGAATCCCTGGAGTTGATTAAGTAGGAGAGTGACATGACGAAGCCTGAACTTTAGGATAATCACTTTAGTGTCTAAACTAAGGATGTATTAGAGTGGGGAAGGGCTTGAGGTAGGCAAATCCACCAGTAGACTATTGCAATAATCCAAAGATGAGGTGGTAGCATTATCAGAGGAGGCAAAAGATAAATTTGAAAGGTGCTGAAAAGGTACGACTGGCAGGCAGGCCTTGGCAACAACTTGGATATAGAGCTTGAGAGACACTGAAGATTTGAGGATAATTCTTAGATTGTGAGTCTGAAGGACTGGGAGGATGATGCTACCATTGACAGTAAGAGGGAAGGTATGAAGTAGGGAGGATTTAGGGGGTAAAGATAAGGAGTTAATCTGGGGACATGTTGAGTTTAAGATGTCTACCCAACATGCAGCTTGAGATGTCTGAAAGGCAGCTGGAGATGTAGGATTGGAGGTCAGCGAGAGGTTAGGGAAGCATAGGGAGATTTAAGAATCATTAATATAGAAATATTAGTTAAATCCAATTGATTAATTTAATCCATTGGAGTTTGCTAGATGAAGATTCAGCAATGAATTGGGTTGGATTAATTAAATCTAATAAAGTTTGCTCAATAAAGATCCAGCAAAGACACAGGGCTCATGTAAAACACATTTTGAGATCCTACAACCCTAGGATTCAATTATAGATTAAATCTCATTAAAACAACCTCAAGGGTAGCGTTGAAGGGAGTTAGGGAGCAGAATTCATCAAGATGGCTAATATGTGGGGCCGAGGTCAATCAACTCTGACTAGCATACCTAAAAGATAGGTTTACTATGGAGGTATCAACATGAAATAACTATTTGATATGACTCACTTCTTTTTCAGGATTGAAAGAGTTTTTTGGGAGACTAGAAAAATGTTTTTTTTTTTGCTTAGTCAAGAGTGATAAACTGAAAATATTGCTCCTCTAAGTCTCTTAAAATTTTAAAAAGGGTTAGATAAGAAATGTCAATAGACTGAGATTGGACCTATAAGTACATGGTTATAGGAAACTCTAAGAACATTCTTTTAAATAACGCATCTCAGGAACTTATCATCTTAGTGAGATTCCTGTTGCCTAAAGAAAGCACCGAGAGATTAAATGATATATTTAATATATATCATAATATAGCTGATATGTGTCAGAAGGAAGACTTGAACTTAGATCTTTTGGGGTCAAAGGCCTATATCTATCCACTATGCCCCTGAGTTTCAAATAAATGGAAAAACAAAACAGAAACAAAAAAAAAAAAACCAAGCACAGCATTGTTCTAAAACTTGATAGAACACTAGTGATTACTTATTGTTTTGCATACTTTTTAAACTCTACAAAATCTATGTGAAAATTATTTAAAATGTATCCTTAATGAAAATATTAAAAGGAAAGAAGAAGATTTTTGCAGATGACATAGAAAGACTGGTAGGAAATAAATATAAAGTACCAAGAAGCTATTCCTTAACACATCTCCTAGCATAGCCACGTCTAAAATAATTTTGTGCTGAACTTCTAATGAAAATCAATAATTGTGCTGAATCAATTAATGGCGAGTAACTCAAACTATCAGATAAGGCTGCAGTAAAAAGAAAAAAGAAAACTATAATGAAAATAATGGTGAAAAGTGCATGTGCCATAACAATCTGGATTCTAAGCATATCAAGGACAGGGTAATTATAGAACTAGAGTACCTCCCTTTGCACACCCCCATTATCAAGCACTCAGACACCTGACAGTTTAGAACATTAACCTGAAAAATGAAGGGAAAAAAAAGCTTGATTGCTTTGTTTCATTGACCAAAAGGAACACCATTAGGTAGTGGTAGCTGTAAAAAACCCCTCAACACCAAGGCATAAGAGAGGGGGAAACAAAAACATAAAATAAAAAAGTTGGTGTGCAGGGGCCTGGAAGTGAGAGACAAACAGCAAAAGCAGTACACAGATGAAGCTGTGGGGATATTTAGAAATGAATCACAGAATCATAAATTTATTGCTGAATATATATGCACACACACATATACATATATATGTATATATATATATATATATATATACATATATATGTATATGTGTGTGAACATATAAATCATCTAATCCAATGCCCTCATTCTGCATATGAGAAGCTGAAGTCCAAAGAGTTTATGTGACTAGCCCAAGATCCACAGCATTTTGTGCTGAGGTCCTTCTAGCTTTCTTCTAACGTTGTGAGGGTACCAAGGGGACACTCTGGTGGTTCATCTGTCATTTCCTCTTCCTATAAGGCAATTTCTTGATGGTATCTTTTTGTAGGTTTGGGAGAAGACTGATTCTCTCAAGCTGGAAATGCAGAGACTGTTCACAAGCCCAATCCCACTGTTTATAGATCTGTAAAATGAAATGCACAGAATCAGCAAAACAATTTATACAATAACCACAATAAAGCAAACATCATTGAAAGCTATCAGAACTGTGATCAACGTAGTGACAAATAGTGACTTGAAAGATGTATTTTTTTTTTACTTTTTGGTGAGGCAATTGGGGTTAAGTGACTTGCCCAGGGTCACATAGCTAGGAAGTGTTAAGCGTCTGAAGCTGGATTTGAACTCAGGTCCTCCTGACTCCAAGGCCAGAGTTCTGTTCAATCTTCTTTCTCTTGGCTGAGATGTGATGAATTCTAGATTCAAAAGGAAGCAAACAATGGCATATGTGTTTTGCTTAACTGTATTTTGTTACAGGATAGAATTATAAGTGGCAAATTGGATGGATCGTTGAACCTGGAGTCAATAAGATCTGTGGTCAAATATGAACCCAAACACTTAGCAACTGTGTGACCGTGGACAAGTCACTTTACCTCTGTCTACTTAAGTTTCCTCATTTGAAAGACAAGGATAACAATAGCACTTACCTTCTAGGCTTGTTATAAGTATAAAATAATATTTGTAAGCACTTTGCAAACTTTGAACATTATATAAATGTTATTACTGTTATTGTTATCACTGGGCCAAGAGTAGGAAGAATGTGGGAATCAATGGAACATAACAGTGATATTTAGTTCCTATAATAAAGCTTACATGACTCAGTATCACTTATAAACAGTTTCCATAGTTCAAGTAAATGTTCTGCACATATATGTATTATCAGTTTTCAAATGTAGGTAAACATGGTTGTGGTTAACCAACTACAAATTCCTCAAAAAAGTATCAATAACATATTAACTTAATTTTTAAAACTAAAAAAAAACCCTCCAAACCTAGCCATTCGGTTTAGCTCTTTAAATGGCCTTGCTATTTCACAGGTGGGCAGCTTGGAAAATTCTTTAAATATTAATTTTTCAAAAATTTATGGCATTTCACTCTAATGTTTTCTATCCCTCAGGGAGGAGTAAGTGGATTGACTGGTGATTTAGAATTTGGAGAAAATGGGATCAATCCCAATGTACATTTTGAAATACTTGGAACCAACTATGGAGAAGATCTTGGCAGAGGTGTCCGTAAGGTAAGGCTGGACACTGATAAGTATGATTTTGCTTAATGTTAACTGCAGCTGTGTTTAATTTATTTGCATCCACTATGGATGCAGAGTCTTGTGTTGTTTATATAGAGGTGTATGAGAGAGAAAAAGGAAGCTGTTAGATTATTACCACAAGTTCTAAGGTATGACAGAGTTTATTTAAAATGCAAGTTATTTATAGTACAGATTAAAATATGTTGAGATAGTTGTCTTAGTGGAAAAGATCTTTCATGTCATAGTCTGTCCTTTTTAAAAAATGGTGTATTTTTTGTTGTTATAATGTATTGCTTCTGGTTTGTACTTTATAGGATGTATAAGACTAGAATGATTTTCCAGACAAATTTCATACAGTGAGAGTGAAAATTCATTCTAAAATGTGACATTATAGGTTTTAGCTTCTGTATTTGTCATGTAACAAATAGAAAATAGTCTGGAAGAACTGAATCTTTCTTATATTCCATGCTATATGTCTCATGCAAAAAAATGGAAAGTGGTTTCCAATAAAAGATGTTTCTTTAAATGATTTTATCAAGGAGAAATGTTACTCCTTCCTCCAAGAAAAATAATTTTTCTGTAGTTTTGATACGTGTGTGTGTATGTGTATATATATATATATATGTGTGTGTGTGTGTGTGTAATTGAAAGTACAAAATTAAAATAAAATCGAATGACATGAAATGAAATAATTGAAGCTTATAAAGTGTTCCAAAGCTTTTAAAAATACTTTACATATGATTTCCCTTGATTCAAGGCAGTTTAAGATGTATAGAGAGTTCTTAACTAGACATCTCTAATTGCACAGATGAGACTTCCATCAACATTCCTAAGCAGTTGTTTCTTCAAAATGCTGAGAGGTAAAATATAGACATACTTAGGCAAAATTAAAGCAAGTAACACAAAGAATAAGGTCCCTAGCAGTTTGGGAGTAACAGCCTCCCAGGGAATTTTTGATTGACCGCTGCATTTTTGGTACCATTGCACTGAATAGTTTTGTTTCATGGAGGTGGGGAAACCAAAATGAAGAGTTTGTCAGCATAATTAATTAAACAAAACTATTTACCTTGCAAATCAAAATTATTTTGATTCTATGCAAATTTATAACTATGGCAAGTAGACGGAAGTATGAACATTGATCTCTTACAACATATGATGAGTTGGTTACTAACTAACTTTGGATGCTAGAGCTGAATATTTAATGGTGATAAACAGTAGAAAAAAACAGATTTCTATTAGATTTTGATTTATATCAAAGAAATTTATTTCAAAGTCATGTCAGAAAAATCAAACTTTATGAACAACACATAGTAACTAGTCAAAATGCGGGAAATAACTTTTATAATTATATAAGTCTTAAAGAAAGATGAAGCATTATCTTCCAAATATACAGTCGTAATAACACTGACTTAATGCTTCAAGTGTTAGAATGATTTTTAAACTCAGGAAATTAAAAAATAATTATAACATTGTAATAGGGATGCATTGTTTTCTCATAAATGAAAAGTAAGTCTTTTTGTTGGGAAGTCTTTTAAGCTAATTACTTAGTGACATAAAGCAGTCTTACTACCTTGGATTTGCCCAACCAACAATAGTAATGCGTTTTATTTTAATAAAGATGCCCTTTCTCAGAAGAATAAAAATTTTAAAATCACTTTAAATATATATCTTTAAATTAATTTTAATTCATAATAGTATTTATTTTTAAATGGACTTTGTGTTTTTAATTAACTTTGATTGTCTTAAAGTATGTATTTAGAGTTTGTCTACTTTTTTGAGACCTTCTATATATTTGCAGATGGAGGGGGTTCATTTGAAAATAGAGTGGTTTCTTCTAATAAATATATTAACACATGTAACATGTTTTGAAACACCCAGAAAGAGAAAGCTGTCCATTGCATAATTTTTCCAGACTTCAGGATGTTGTTATTAATCAAGTACGCTTTCTGGGAAACGGTATATAAACTAGAGTATGACTTAGTCCTTGTTTCTAACAGTGTTCTCAAAGAGTGGTCTTTCTACTGATGAACTGTCAAGTTGTCAGTGTTTATTTATCCCTATGCCAGTAGCTAAATGTATACAGTGCCTGGAGGTTTATCACCTTGAGCAGGGACACTGTCAGCTTTCAAAAGCCAAGGAGGACTGTGTCTGGTTAGGACCTGAATGTCAGACTGACAAACTCTTCAGGGCACCAACTGTTGAACTAAATTCAACTCTCTCAGCAACAAATAAGTAGAACTCTTGTTTTCTTCAGTTTATTTTTGAGAGTATGTGAGGATGGGAAAAAAATCTTGATTTTCCTTGTTCTTGAGAAATAGAAGTTATTTTCTTCTTTTGGACTTAGATTTTTTTTTTGAAGAGAGAAGGGAAGATCTGTAATTGCATTGGTCTAAGGAACTTACATTGAGGAAACTGGCTTGACCAAAAGATATCAGCATCTCATCTAACACTTACAGTTTTAGACAGTTACTTGGAATACTGAAAAAGTATATTATTTGTCTAATATCTCACAGTCAATATGTGTCATACCTCGTCTCATCAAGTAGATGAATTTGGTTTCTCATTAAATGTTTTAAGGTTCTTTCATAATTGTATTGTGCTTTGATGTCTAAATGTATTCAGAATCCTTAGGAATGTAGTCTCTCTCCGTAGAAAATACTTTACTCTAATTTTATTAAAAAAATAATAATAAAGCCTTGCCAGTGGGTTAGCACATTATGTTTTCTTGAAGATGCTTTCTGGTAAAACTTTTAAAATTTCATTCTGCTTCATTTATTTTTAAATGTTTTATTTATGCTTTTTGTTTACACACCAGTCAATACTCAATACCCTCTCCATCCTCACATTATAACAAGGAAGAAGAGTTAAGCAATAGTAAACAATTCAATGACCAAGTCTGTCAATCTTATTCTAATAATGTTATCTTTTAATTTTAGAAAGCTAAATGTGGATATAGTTGGAAATAGTGCCTTTATTTCTATGATTTCTTAGGTTCTGTTAAAGGATTTTTTTCTGTATAAAATGATGTGGTTATTTGCTTTTTCTTATTTTAAATACATATAAATTAGTTTATTAATAGGTTTCCTAATGTTGAATTACCCATGAATCTTAGGTATAAATATAACCTGGTCATAATATATTATTTTGATTTCTTACTAATATTTTATTGAACATTTTTTTATTAATATTGGTCTACAGTTTTCTTTACTAATTTTCAGTTGTTTGGGTATTTTGCAATATGTATCTCAGAAACAGTTTACTCAAATGCCTTCTTTCTCCATTTTGGCAACAATTTATGAAACATAGATATTATTTGTTCTTAAACTATCTGAGAGAATGTATGTAGATAGATAAATACTTAGATAAATATGAATATATAGGCATATATAATCATCTGGACCAGAGAACATTTTTTCATATTTTCAAATTTCATTTGTAACTTGTTCAATTTCTCTTACTGAAATTGTTCATATTCCTTATTTTCTGCTTCATTAACTTGCTTTTTAATTTTTTTGTAAATATTCATACACTGAATTTAAGTTTTGCTGTCATTAAATTGATTATATTAGTTTCTGATAATTTTGCTTCATTTACTCTATTTTTTGTAAATTTTCCCCTTGTCATTTTTTGCTGTTTTTTTTTTAAAGTTTTTACTTCAATAGTGATTTTCTTTTCAGTTTTGTTTACTTCCTCTTTGATTTTCAGAATTTCTCGTCTGTAATTTTAAGGGTTATTATTTATCAATTTTTAAAAAAAAATTAGTTGCATATTCAATTCATTGGTCTTGCTTCCTCTCTTTTGTTCACGTCAGAAATCATTCAACAAGCATTTATTAAGTGCCTACGGTGTGCCAGGCACTGTCCTAGGCACTAGAGATATAAAGACAAGATAAAACTAGTTTTTGCCCTCAAGGAGTTAAGATATAAAATTTGCCCCAAAGTTTTCTTTAAATGCTTAGTGAAAGGCAAGGAGAAAGGTTTGAGAAAGCACATTCCAAGCATGACAGACAGCTTGAACAAAGATATAGAGGTAGAAGATGGAATGTTGTTTATAGAGAACAATGAAAACTAGTTTAGCAGGAATTTTTTTTAGGGGGAAGAAATGACATAAAATTTCATTAGAAACAGATGACTTAGGGCCTTAAGCAGAGGAGTTTGAATTGAGGAAACCACAGAAGATTGCTAAGCAGAACACGCTTTAGGATGATGATTTTAGCAGCTGTGTAGAAAATGGATCAAAGTAAAGGGAGATAAGGATGGCAACTATATGAAATGATGATGATGATGATGATGATGATGATGATGATGATGATGATGATAAGAATTTATCTGCCAGACATTGTGAATTACAAATATTCTATCATTTGAGTCTCACAACTTCAGGCAAGAGATATGTCCTACCTCCTAAATGTGAATATACCCCAGGGCTTCACTATTCTCTCCTGTTTTCTTTGTCTGCAAACTATCTTAGTCATCCTACCAGCTCCTCTGGTATCACTTTTATCCTCTGCAGATGACTCCCAGGTATGTGTGCTCCCCTTTACTCCTTAGTCCCTTGCCAGGTTCTCATCAGCCTTCTTGCTGCTGAGCACATACTCTCCTTCCCCTCTACTCCCATCCTCCCATAAACTCTAACTCTAGAATCCGATTAACTCCATCTTGCTCCTGGAAGGGGTACGTTGGCTTACTCCACCATTCCTAGATCTTTTCAGACCAAACTATCTCTCCCTGGACATGGCCCTTGTATGGGTGCCATGTTCTTTGAACTCAGAGCCCCTTTTCCCTTTTGCATTTGTATGCATAGTAATGAGCACAAATGATAAGTGCTTAATAAATTGGTTTTTTTTTTCATTCATTTTGGTGTTGGGTTTTTTTGGTCTTTTTTATTTTTTACAGTTTTGAGGTGATGTGGTATAAAAACAACTTTTCACTTGGCAATTCTTCTAGACATCCTAAGGTAAAACTCATAACCTGGTTTATGAGCCTGTCCCC